GCTCGATCTTGACTTCGGTAGGTGGCGCCGTCTGTGGCGACGTGCCTCGTCTGGTGAGACCTGCGTGGGTTCAGCTGTCTGAATTTGGCGGCAGGGGGTCCTTCCGTGCTCCGGGTCTTCTGCGGCGGGTCCTTCACTCGCTCCGGGACCCGCCCCCGAAGTGCCCCGAAGACCAGGAGCGTGGAAGGACCCCCCTGCTGCAGAATTGCCGACGATGACCGGGAGCGCGGAAGGACCCCCGTCTAGGGCGCCAAAAACCCTGGTGCCGCTCCTGCCCAAAGGAGTTGTGACACTTGTCAAAAGGCATCGCCTCCCATGTCCGAATGCATCGAGTCCCTCCAAGAAGCTCATCAGGCCGTGTGTGTGTGTGTGTGTACTTGTGCGGTGCACCAGCAAAGAGAGACCTAGTGCGCTGGGAGTGGGCGGGACTATCGGCAGTGACAATAATCCCTACCTCTTATCTAGCACTCATCAGTTGAGTTCAAAGTGCTTTACAAAGGAGGTTAGACTAATCCCCATTTTACAGATGGGGAAACTGAGGCACCGGGCAGCATAGTGACTTGCCAAAGGTCACCCAGCAGTAGGGTGACCAGACAGCAAATGTGAAAAATCGGGACAGGAGGTGGGGGGTAATAAGAGCCTAAGACCCCAAAATCGGGACTGTCCCTATAAAATCGGGACATCTGGTCCCCCTACCCAGCAGGCCAGTTACAGGGACAGGAATAGCACCTAGGTCCCCATCCTGTGCCCTGTGTACTGGGGAACGCTGCCTCCGCAGCATGGCACCTCCACAGTGCGCACACACATAGCACTGGGCAACTGCCACAGGTAGACAGCCCTGTTTCCTGCTATGCACCACTTTGAGAGCAGGAAGCAGTGGGTGTCTCCTGCTCTCCCCAGGGCTATGGACCCAAGTGGATTGGGTCAGCTGAACAGAAAGCAGCATGGGCCTTGCCCCTGTGAGGGAGGCAACAGTCATTCCATGGCAACATCCAGTGATGTGCTGGAGGAGTAGCGGACACTCCCTAAAAGTAGGGGGGGGGCCACCAGCACCTGAACCACACCTGCACCACGCTGCCCCAAGCTCATGTCCCTTTCCCCAGAGGCCCCGCCCCATGCCATCCTTCTCCCTACGCCCCTGCCCTCACTCCACCCACTCCATGCAAGGCCCTGTCCCCGTGCTGCCTCTTCCCCCGAAGTGATGGGGCCGTGGTCCCCTGTGCCCACGCCCTTGGCTGGAGGGGTAACTTGGTGACATTTAATTGCCTGTGATATGCCGGAAGTCAGAGTAGATGATTTAATGGTCCCTTCTGGCTATGAATCCACGAGGGAATCTGCTGACAACCCTCGCTGCCCACTTGGCCCCTAGCTAAGGGTCTGGTTGGAAGGACTAGATGCAGCTCTGGATTTTCCCCCTCCTTGGTTTACCCCATCGAATCTGTGTGCTCCGGATCAGTTTCCCACAGGGTCTGTCATTCGGCCTCCATCAGCAGAAAAGCAAAGGAAAACAAAGCTACTCAACCTTCTCGGAAAACACCAGAGAGAAAAATGTCACCAGTTTCGGCAGCAGAGTTCTCACACCTGCTAGGTTGCGCAGCCCCCTCCTCCACCCCAACCCCAGCTGGGCGAACATGACGGAACTAAACGTGGGTCTATTTAGGGAGAGAGAGCGGATCCTCACTGCTCCGCTAATGGCCCAGGCGCCGAGATAAGTGGATCTGAAAGCAAAAACAAGGAGGCAGAAATAGACAGTCTGAAAACCTAACGCAAAGGGGGCTTGGCTTTGATGGGAATTATGTGCACACAGCAACAGGAAAACCACTCCAGCGGAGGACCCAGAAGAGAATTCGAATCCTATGCCAAAAATATAAGGTCTAGGATAGTAGAGGCGGATTTTATATCCTCGGGAATTTGCTAGGAAGCCGGAACAATACAGCCTTATTTGGTATGGGGTCTTTTCAAACAGTGTCTTGAGTTAATTATGGTATGCATCCGAAGAAGTGGGCTGTAGTCCACGAAAGCTTATGCTCTAATAAATTTGTTAGTCTTTAAGGTGCCACAAGTACTCCTGTTCTTTTTGCGGATACAGACTAACACGGCTGCTACTCTGAAACTTGAGTTAATTAATTCCTCCCTTGCTGAGCAGGATCTAAGGGATTCACAGGTCAGTTTCCCCTCTGGAGCAGAACTCGGGTGCCGTCTCAGGTATTTGTTTAGTGTCATTTGTTTATTTGCAAAATGTCCCCGGCTCCTCTACGAGACCTGCCCCGAAACCCTTCCCAGAGCAGAGCTTTTACCAAAAACACCCTGTCTTGATTTAAAACTGGTCAGTGCCGGAGAATCCACCACGAGCCTCGGGAAATTGTTCCGGGGGTTAATTGCTCTCCCTGTTAAAAACGTGCGCCTTATTTCCAATCGGAATGCGTCTGGCTTCAACGTCCAGCCGTTGGAGTGTGGGCTCCCTTTCTCTGCAAGACTGAAGAGCCCCTATTAAATATTTGTTCCCCATGTAGGTACTTACAGACTGTGATCAAGTCCCCCCTTAACCTTCTCTTTGTTAAGCTAAATAGACGGAGCTCCTGCAGTCTATCATTGTAAGGCAGGTTTTCTAATGAATCATTCCCGTGCCTCTTCTTTGACCCCTCTCCAGTTTATCACCATCCTCCTTGACCTGCTGGCACCAGAACTGGGATGCAGGATTTCAGCAGCGGTGGCACCAGTGCCCAGGGGTGAAAGTAACGGGGAAGACTTACCGGTAAGGGGGCTGACTCTGGTCCCTGGAAGGGGCGAGGCCTCGGGTGGAAGGGGCGGGGCTGGGGGGTTCAGCATCCCCCAGCTAGCCCATCTGTGTGCTGCCTGGCCGGTGCCAGCCGGGGCTCCAGCGGCGATTTAAAGGGCCCGGGGCCGGCCGGAGCCCCGGACCCTTTTTAGCGCGGAGCAGCTGGTCCTTCCTCCCT